CTTTTGCAAAATCACGGTTCCGAACGTAGTCGGATACCTTAACTGTAAGTTTGGTTGAAAACTTTCTCCCGAAGAAGACGTTATTTACTCAAATGAGTGGTTATATTTAAACGATGACATTTAGGTACTAGTGGCTAGTTGACAAATAGTCACTGGATGGTCAATTATTGATAATGAGAGAAAAAGTTTTAAGATTGGGCTTAAGAATTACGATAGTAGGTTCGATAAATTTCTTACAAGTAAGAAATTTATCGTGAAGTTTAGCGTAGAAGTGTCCCGAGTGCTCCAAGTGTAATTGGAGTAGATTATATATAGGTTAAGTAGCCTTTAGCCATGCAATTGCTCTTCTCATTAGTTACTTAGTGCATTTTCTATTTTTAGTCGTGTGGATTAAGTCAAAAGGATAAAAAATTTGAATTTGAAACTTGCTATGGCTGATCTTTAGTCGAACCCCAAACACCAACGACCGCTAGTCGGTTGTCACTCAGTACAATCATAAAATAAAACGAGGGAAAGAATGGAAATATGTTATAAGGAGTCAATAACCAACTCAAAACTTTGACGAGAGAAAAAAAAACACTTCAAAAGAAAATCTAATGTCTACAGAACGTTTTAAATTAACTAAAAAATGCGGTTATTTAGTATTTTTTTCATAAACATATGTTTTGGAATAATCCTCTAAAAAGTCCGAGGAAAAAATGTTTGTGAATAATATTAAAATAGAAATTTGTAGGCCTTTTTAGTAATTCAGAAAAATATTAAGGTATATATTTATTTTTTTATCAAATGATAAAAAATAATTTGTTATCATTTTACTAATGTGTTATCATGTGTTATCATTTCAATCACTTCTAATTTGTTTTTAATATGCTGAAAGTATTTTTGATGCTAGATTGCGAGATGATCATTTCATTACGTAATAACCCTGTTGTCCTTGGAAAGTAATTTATTAACTCTGATTTCAATTTATTCGTTGATATTTTGTTCAAATCTTTGTGTGAAATAGCTTCTTCTATTATAAATTATTGTTATAGTATAGCGTCTTATGAAAATATGCTTCAAGAAATTATTGTACTAAATAAAAATGCAATAATACAACTAATACAAATGGAGATTTGTATATTAATATAAAGATTTTTCATTATAAATAAACCCATTTTTTGGAAAAGTAAAAGAAATGCCTATTTCTCTCTTAATACGAACTTTTTCCATAAGTAAATTTTTTTAAAAATTTTCTAGCTAGACTATCCAAATTATGTATCATTAAAACCAATATTTTTTTCCAAATGCACACATGATTTTGTGGAGACCCCCCTGGGTCTCACCCTGGACACCAAGATTAATTTGAGGCAGAAATCACTAAGAGCCATTTTGTATAATAATAATAATTATTTATTATTTCAAGTCTCAAAAAAAACTCTAATAACATATAATACTTTTATGTTACGTCAAATAAAGGGGATTTACCTTTTATATTAAATTAAATTACGAATTATGCAACTAATTAATAATAACGCTCAAGATCAATTAAGGTCTACCGAAATAGGAGGTCCGAGAAATACACGTACTCGAATTATTAACTTTAACTAATTTTACTAAATTAACGCTTATTTTAAGCGTACATAAATTATGTTTACCGCTGGCTAAATCAGCCTTCAAGTTCTTCAGTAGAAAAGCAGTGCTACGTCTTCACTATCTTAATATCCTGGAATCCTCTAAGATTGAGGTTACTGTTGCTGGTTCAATAGCCTTCCTCATCATGACTGCTAGCTTACAACGCTCAACTTAAATACCTTATCTACTTTTCATAACCCGTTCATCTTCTTGGAGTTGATTGGAAATATACGCGAATTTTTGTTCCCCAAAAAGATGCCTAAGAAGATTAGTGGAAAGGTTCCGTACAGATTCGTCACAATTTTTAAAATTCGAAAATCAATCGTGAATATATTGATTAGTTTCAATATAGATGCTTCTTGGTTTGAATTCAAATTTATCTATATGTGTTTAGTACAGTCGGACCCCGATGTACCGATTTCATCGGAACCGATCAATTTATTCGTTAAATCGGGGTTATTCATAATATCGAGGTCCTAAAAAATACATTTTTTTCCACTTAGCTATTGGGAATTCCATAAGCCGCTACATAAAATGTATACATAATTATAAATTACAGTTTTTATTCAGCAGCTAAAAGTATATTATTATCTAATTGTAACGCACCAGTTAATTGAAAATTATAAACTATTGACTAACAAATGTTTGAAAACCTTTTAGTACCTGACCCAAAAAAAATTCTTTTCTGACTTTATGCAGAGAAGAGAATACTATGTCCTTTACTTCCTGATACATGAGGTATGTTTTCATAGTTTACAAACAATCTAAAGAATTAGAAAATGTAACAGTTTTGATCGGAGTTTTATAAACGATTTCTGCATATAAACCGCTATGTATTTCATTTCGACAAACTGAAAAATATGCTTGACGAATTTTCAAAAACAAAATTTTCTACAAAACCGTGCATATAATAAATCTCTTAAAATATCCCCTGCGTTGTGGAGTAAGATGAGATATAAAGAAATATCCAGTCCTATTCAAAATTCTCACGGTAGTCTACACTCATGACTCATCTACCCATGAAAAGTGTAATAATTCCTTTCGCTGTTGAAATTTACTACTTACAAGAGAAGTCTTTTTATGTGTTCCGAGTAAACAATGTCATTTGGAAAGTCCTATTTTTTTCTATAATCCAAACTAATTAAAAAATTTCTTTCGGTCGTTAGAGGGATATCATTCACTAAATAGGGGTCTTTGCCTTCATTTTAATCGGGGAAAAGAAAAAATATCCGTTAAATAGGGGTTCGTTAAATCGGGGTCCGACCGTATATTGCTACATCTTTCAAACATTTTACAAACACGTGAAGTTATTTCATCTTGCATTGATATGAGAAATACAAGCACTGTAGTTTTTTACTATGAATATTACAGTACAAATTAACCCTTACAAGGCCATAAGTTACTAAAAGTAAATATTATTTTGTAGCTGTTTATTTTAGTTTACTTGAACCTTGAGAGAGAGAGAAATACATAAAAATCCTAAAAAAAATACATAATGTGTAATTTTTTTTATCAATGTGTAGTTATATCAAGCATTTTTTTTCTATTGTTAAAACATATTTTTTCTTGCACAAAGTTATACTAAAAGTAATATATTATTGCATGACACAATAATACCTGAAATAAGTAGTAATATGAATCTAGTCCGCTAATGTTAATAACTGGCGCTTATTGAGTTGCTTCCACTTTTTTTTTCCAAATGTTTCCTATTACGTAATTGCCATTTGGCACACATTCTACTTTGACATTATGAGTTAATCCTTATTTTTTTGCATAAAGTTTGACAGTTACCAATTTTAAAATGGAGGAAAATATTTAACTAGTCGTAAAAGTTTTAAACTTTTTTGACAAATTTCGTTTCGATTTTGGGCAGTAATCAATTACATTGTAGCTATGTACGTAATATTTTTGTTTCTTTTTGTAACCTATGGGTCACCTGTAACAAATATATCTATGCAGATATTTGGTCTGAAGTTCCTACTATTTTACTTAAAGATTACCTAAATTTAACATGATCATTTTAATTCCCAAACTATACAAAATCTCCATGCACCAAATATCGAATTTTGCTCCGAAAGCAATTTGATTAAAGATTATTGTCTTCAAACTATCTCAAAGCTACTGGAATAAACGACCCATACTAAGAGGATTGTTCAGTCAGTAACTACAATACATAAACATAGCTATAAGGCTGCAGAAAGTAGCCGCTTAACTCAGTGAATGATTGCTTCTTCCTAGTATAATGGTTTTCCTTTACCAATATCGTAAACTGAGCGCTTAAGAGGCTCCTTCTTCGACTCTTGGGGGCTCCTAGCATCAATGGACGGTGAAAATAGAAAAAAATGCAAAATAGGAAGGACTTGGATCGTCCTTTGGTGGTTTTTATCGTAAAGGAAAGAAGGAGATTTCTCTTAAAATGAGTTTCCTTCAAAAAATTGCTAAGTCTTGTGACTTTCCATTCGAAGCTTAATCCAGCTTCGGATAGTTGGCTTCGCTCACCGAGGATTCGTAAAGTTTAATGTGCATGGAAGTGTGCAGTTTTCTTAAGATGGGAATTTTTAGTCCTTTGTAAGAGTTTTTGAGGCTCAGATTTCATCAAAGGGGTTTATGAAGTTTCCACAAATTGGATCTTTATTAAGAAATGATAAAATTGTTCCATTATAGTCTTATTAAAGTGATAATCGGTGATTTTCGGAACTATTAAATAAATGCACGCCATTTATTTATGGTATTGAAAGATTATGAAGTTGATAGTAAGTGATATTTTTTGTACGATTAAAGATATTAGTATGATGTTTCCGTGGATAAATATCTTCATTACTTCAGACTGTAGGATTAATACGTTTTAAAGCTTATAATGAAACATTTGATATGCTTAGGATATCTTCATTTTCTTGAGTACAAAATATTAATGTACTTGACACAGGGATCAGCTAAATAAGTCAAATATTACATAAATTTGCTATTCTCACTACAATCCTAATAATATAATCTATGAAATATTTAAACCGGTATACTAAAGTTCCGATTCATTTTTTTAAAAAAGAAATTCCTTTCTGTACTAGGTACATTTTGATTACAGACTGAAACATATTTTAAACAAGTTATATAAAAATAAAGTCAATTCCTACTTTGGTCAACAAAGAAAAATTTTAGCTACTTCTTATTAAATAGTTAAAATTAATGTAAATATGTACATACATATGATAAAATCACAATATTAAATGACCAAATAGAAAGCGATTTCCCTTGCAATTTTTCGTTTTCCTTTCTATATAGGGTTTTGGACTATTTCGTTTGTTTGTTACTATTTATTAATTAATTAAATTTAATTATTCTAATAAAACAGTACAGTAAAAAATAAATCTCATTCTTAGGAATTAGGTCATCCCAGGTGGGATTTGGACCCACGACTTTGGATTACAAGTTCAATGCGCTATCCATCGCACTGCAGGGACACAATGAACGATTTTCATTTCTATATATGCAGTTGGACTATTATTTTTGTTAATATTTATTCATTTTTTAAATTCAATTAATGAATTATTATTTTTTTAAAAACTGCACTAACATTGAGTGTGGTCCACTTCAAGTTTTAAAAAAAATGTATTTGAGCTGAATGGAAGAATAGAAAGTATTTTATTAACGATTGAAAATTTGAACAAGATATATATATATATATATATATATATATATATATATATATATATATATATATATATATGTATAGAAAGAGAGAGGGAGAGGAGTAGGGAATAGTAGGAATTGTGAAAAATATACATGAGCCAAATTCTTTACTTTGCTTATATTTTACTTAGCTCCTGTTTGATCATAACAAAAGTTTGAGGAAAATTAGTAATTTGTGATTGTTGATAATTTTAATTGTGTGCTGAATATTTTAAATCATTTAATACTGGCTGTAAAATTGCATATGGTACATTATTTTTTTCTTTAACACTAACAGATTAGTATTTCTCGCTCATAAAATTTTAATTTACTATTGTAACTTTTTTTAGAATTTCGATCCACCTATATATGTTTACTGAAGTATTCAGACTGATTTACAGGTTCACATCGCGAAACATTGAGATTTTTCTCATAATTTGGTTATTTATTTCACAAAATCATCTTAAAAGTTATTGAGTACGAATAGTTTTAGGAATTAAAGTAAAACTTAATTTGCAATTTAATTTGTTAAACATATAATTATAAATAACTTACATAATATTTATTGTTTGTAATTTTTTTAGAAATGCAAAATGATAATTATATAAATGTTTGTAATTACAACTAAAATTGAACTTAAAATTCATGGATCAGCTAACGCAATGAAAAGTTAAGTAAAATTGAAAGGAGTTATTTAAAAACACACACACAAAAGTTAGTGCGTTAGTTGAAAGTACCAAACCAAACTTTCATAGAAAGAATTTTAAGAACGTGTGTGATTATTTTTCTTTTAAAAAAATTTTATATAGCAGCCAATTGATGATATTATTACTTCCGTTTAATATTTTCATGTATTCATTTGTAGGTAAAAAACATATTTCTAATGAAATAAAATACTATATTACACAAAAAATCCGTTCTAAACAACTGCTTGCCGAAATTATAGTCAGGTACAAATGAAGTCGATTGGTTGTTGAAGGCATGCCCTTCAGTGACGATATATATAAAAGGAGATATATGATGTAGGCAATATAAAGCCAGTTTTAATAATGTCCCCAAAACCATTTATCAAGAGTTCATACATACAGTCGGGTCTCCATTTTACGAACCTCTATTCTGCGAATCTCTCTATTTTACGAACTTTTTTTTTGAACGAAGCATATAGAAAATGAATATCTATTTAACGAATGTTCCCTGTAACGAACTTTTTCGCGACTTAGAGACTTCGTTAAATAGGTGTCCGACTGTACATAGCTTGTAATATTAACCTCAAGGATTGTAATGATATCTCGCAATCGATTATCAATGTTTTTGAACCTTTCGCCGTTATATGTGTCGTAACTATAGCAAATCACAGCAAAGATAAATCTTATCTTAATTTCATTAACCTCACTGATTAATCTAGTAATTTAATTTATGATGAGAAAACTTTCTCAACCGATAAAATTATAGTAATCTGAAATTACTTGACATTCAGAAGCAAACAGGGATGCAGACGAAGTAAATCGTAAGTAATCTTCCAAAGCAGCAGAAACTCTAAATCTTTAACGCAGTTAAAATCCTTCTGCTGATGGAACTTTAGATAAAACTTGACGAATTGTTGACTAATTGACACAGACTTTTCTGTATAAACGCACCCATTAATGACTACAATTCACTTTCTATAATAAATTTCGTTTTTTCTGAAGAAGGTGACAGTAAAATGTTTTAATAATATTAAAGAAAATCCCAGATTATAGTTTCCAGTTGAAAATTTTGTAAGATAGCTAAAGTTTAAAATCAAATACACTTTAAATGTGTATCTGATTTACTCTAATGTTTTCTATAAAGGACAGAATGATTTATCAAGAACATAACACTATATGTGAAGTACATTTTTTTAAATAAAAAAGTGATTTATACAGCTTACCAGAGATCCATAAATCTTTAGTCGTATACATTGATATAATGGATTGGGTTTTTATTGCATGCATTATTTTTCTACATTTTTTCATTTCATTCTTTTACGTTTGCAATCAATATTTAATTATGCAAAGATAAAAATCCTTAAATAATTTTTATATATCTTCCGTAACTAAAATCTAATACTTTCCAAACAAAATTTCAATTATTTTTTCTAAAAAAACCATTTTTATTGTCTGGAGATTTTTATAAGTGTAAGGTTTCCATTTTGTTAGTATTATTGTCAACAGTTTTTATGATATTTTCATGTAATGTAATCTGGCAACACCAGATCTGTGAACGCGATGCCGAAGTAAGCGTATTGTGCCGCAGTATCGTTTTTTGCTATTATTAAATGTTATTTGTTTTTTAAATACTTAACCATTCTTCCAAATTATCAACTTCACACATATTTTTATTTTATATAAGGTTATATTCAAATTAATATTGAAAACACTTCTCTTGAAGTACATATAATACTTATATATAACTAACACAGTAAAATTGGAGCTTTCTTTTTTAAGTAACTTAGGGAAAATTTAATTTTAAACACAAATTTACATTCATTCCCAAAATTTTCGTAATAAACTTATTTCAGTGAATTGAATACTGTTATTAATTTGTTCTTATACTTTTAAACCATTCTAAAAATAGAAACAAATGATAATTATACATACATTGAAACAATGATTGATAAAGAAATCAATTATTCTGATGCATATGCATATATTCTTTTTCTCGTGTAACTTAAAAATTTGACTATGACAAACTTTACCAAAAAAATGTAAAATATAAGTGTAATAGTACCTACTCACTATAATACACAAAAAATGGAGCTAGTTAAGGGGTGAAATTGACATTTTTTATTCCTTGGTATTGAATTACCTGTACATACTTAATTTGCATAGTTAAATCTTTTGCCATGTAATACTGTGATTAACTGACTCAGTAAGAAAATGTCTTCCATTTAATAAAATTTACCGCATGTATTGGAACTCAAAAATAAGTCTTCCTGTAGAGATGGTCATAAAAATGATTAATTTAGGAGTTTTAGTGTATATTAATTAAGAAAATATTACGTATATTAAGACAAAATTAATTAGAATAACCACTTAATGTATCTAACTACTTGCGACAACTTTTTTTTGAAAAAAAAAATGGATATATGGAGATTCCATGTGATTTTTAAATATATTTAGTAGATTTTAAGTAAAAATGGCTAAAAATAAGAAGAGAAATCAAATTATTGCTACCAAACTGGAAAAAAATGGGTTAAAATTGATAAAAAATTACTTAAACGGGGCCCGCTCTGTACAAATAGTAATAGAACAAATTCTCAATTTTTCAATTTTGATGTATTACTTTGCTATTCCTTTTTGAAGTGACCTTCAGGATAAGAGATATTTTAATTATTTTACAAAAACTAGAGCACTTTATCTTTGTGATTACATGAAATTGCTTAAAAAATCAGTGATTATATTCACATAAAGAACTGTAAATTTTGTAATAAAACAGTGATTGACAAATCTGAAGGTCAAAATATTTCTACTGTTATACAGAACATACACACAAAATTTCAGCGAATTATTTTAAAAACTTTTTGAGCAATCGCTGTCGCCGTTTGAGCTTTTCGAAAAAAATAGCACATTTCGAGTAAAACGCATTTTAAAGTTTGACACCTTATATAAAGTTATGGCATCTGCTTTTACTAAAACACTTGTAGTTTTTATTCTAGAGAATGGAAAATAAAAACTTAATGTTTTCATAAAGCTAAAACGATGGCCTATAAAATAAAATAATACAAAAAATGTCACTTTTTTAAAAAATCATGATTTTAGGGTAGTCGGATGCTTCGACAAATCACATCCTAATTTTTTATGCTAAATAACTGCTCAATAATGCAAATGAATTATATTTAAATTTTTGATTTTTTTGGTTATTTCACAAATCACACACACACACATTCTCTATCTATTAATGACACAATCTTGTTCATTTTACTACATTGTTTATCCACGTATTAAGTTTACTGCAACAATGTTGTTCTTATTCTTATAACTATTTCATCAAAATAAACTATCTGAAAATCAGATTTTACAAAAATGCTTATTCCACTTTCCATACTAGACTACTCTCTAGGGTGAGTTAAAACCCAAACAAAACCAACAGTTCGCAGCTTCTTTGTTTTACTTGAAAATTTTCCATCTCGAATTTTATCCCATCCTAACGACCCTGCTCGGTTAACATTAAAAATGCATATTAACTACATCTTAACACATATTACCGAAATTGGATTAAATAATTACTCTTAACGAACTCCAGCAAATAGGTTCCCGTCTTCGTAACTTACTTAAATTCTGGGGAAAGAGAAAAACAAAACGGGTACTATCGCCCTCTAGGGTACATTACCAAAGTCCAGCCGGCTGAAAACCTTCCTCGAAAAACACTGTAAAATAATCAGATGCATCAAAGTCTAAAAAAAGAATGGTTCTTCTCAGATCATTTTCCCCAGTCGTTCTTTATGAAAGTAACAATTAAGCTCGTGAAAGTCTTTGTAAGGAAATGATCTCCAGCGTCGTTGAGAAAGACTCGTTGGAAATGTTTGTCTGCTCCATAAAAGACAGGAATGTTTCTCGTGAGACTCGATTCTCCTTCATCCTCCTCTTAAAACATTTTTTCGACCCATTCCCGTTCAAGAAAACAGCTTTCAAAAATTATATTTATGTGAAAAGCCTGTTTTTATTTCCGTTCGGTGCTCGCCCATTAGCTTCTGCTTGTAACAGAGATCGCATTAACTGAGTTTCTTTGCATAAGAGTATACACACACAAAATGATCAAGTCTTAATCCCCC